CCAAAAAAAAAAAAAAAAAAAAAAAAAAAAGAAATGCAATTACAAACTGCTTTCGTGACTGCCAGTGCGCTGTAGTTACCTCAAAAAACAAACAACAAAAAAAACACCAATTGGGGGAAATATGGCAGTTTCCGTGAAAAAATGGCCGAAAATGACACCACCTATTAACCATATGTGAACATCCTCTCTCTCACTACAGCGTCTCTCAAATAGAACAGGGCCCAGGGGCAAGGTCCCACTTGCGCAAATTAGGAGATCTCGGCCATTGATCTTTCAACTTTGCAATCTACGGTCAGTATCTTTTGATTCGTGAAAGTGGGACCTAGCCCAAGGAGTATAGGCAACGAAGTCAATGACTCAATGCTCCACCAGCAAACCCACACAGCCTGGGGACCAATCCTGGCAGGCCTAATTATCCCCTAATATATTACCCAACCCTATTGAAGTTATAGCATCACGATCACGATACTTCCTATCGCCCAAGTTATGGCTGACACATCGACTGGCCAATTCACACTCTCAAGAGTCTCAATGCAGCGTCTCTCACTTGTGCCAATTTAAGTGAGTTTGGGAAGCAATCCTCGCAAAAGCTAATAGTCCAACCCTATTCAACTTAGCATCAAAATCCATCCTAGGGCTCGCAGAGGCCCTGTATTTACTACCGTCTTCCCCCGAACATAACGCACCCTACAAATGAATGTATACAGGCTATATTCCGGGCAGATGCAGCCAAAATAAGGGTGCGTTGTGTTCGGGGGAAGGCGGTAGCAGTGGGATTAGTGACAAAAAGACCTTGTTTGTTTTCTTCAAGAAGAAGAAGAAGAAGAAGAAGAAGAAGAAGAAACGGGGGGTCCAGTGCCCAAGGCTTTGATTACAACGTGTATATATACAGAGATTGGAGACACAAGCCTATTGCTTTTTTTTTTTTAATTATTATTATATCCTATTATTATTATCCCTCACCCGTCCTGTAATTAGATGAACAGCCTACAGCCATTGGATTATTCCTCACCCGTCCTACCGTTCTCCGACTACCGTCTTCCCCCGAGCATAACGCACCCTGAGAATGAGTGTATACAAGCTACAATTCTGGTCAGATACGGCCTGAATGAGGGTGCCTTGTCTTCGGCCTAAGATGGTAGGTGATGACGACGACGAACCTGCTTATTAGCCTGACTGTGCTGGGGAGCCACGTGTCCAGCGGTGGAGTCTGTCGTGGCTGGCTGCCCCCCGTCCCACAAGGTTTCACTCAGTACGTGATGAGATACACAGGCGAAGCCCATGAATACACACGTGCCGTCGTGCACACAGAGAAAGCTCATGCAAACTCAAAGTACGACACGTATGTACGGAAAGTACAGATCGTACGATGATTGCTATAAGTCGGCGGGTTATGGCTCCCTGCACGGTTTCGACCACGTGGCCACCACGTGGTCATCCGCACGGGGATCTTCATCTTACTATTGCCCTACCGTCGTTCCCCCCCGAACATAACGCACCCTGATCATGAATGCACAGAAGCTATCTTTCCGTTCCGGTACAGGCAAAACGAGGGTGCGTTATGTTCGGGCGAAGACGGTAGTCAGAATGAACATCGTTCCACACGCCCACCTCCGCCGAGTCCGCCTTTGACCGAGGACCTGCCGTTGACCAAGTACAGGCCCACCTCCGCCGTTGACGGAGTGAACATCTCCCGCGAGCTGATGCCTTTTCTCTTTGTTTCTTCCTTTTTGTCTTTGTGCTTTCCCTTTTGAATCCTCACCCGTCCACAGATTCGATGACCAGCCTGAAGCCCATGCTCCTTGACTTCCTCCGGCTAGGTGATGATGACAACTCGAGCCTGCGAATTAGCCTGACTGCGACTGGCGAGCCACGTGTCCAGAGGCGGAGTCTGCGCTGACTGCGCCGCCTCCCACGAGAGCGCCATGATGAACGACGGATATCGCTCTCCGGCGACCTCCTCTACTGGCAAGGCTGCTTCCATCTCCTCCATCTCCTCTTTCGAGAGCACAACCTCCACTGATCGGATGTTGTCTTCCAGGTGGCCGATTTTGGTGGTCCCGGGGATGGGGAAGACGTCGTTCCCGCGCTGATGCACCCAAGCGAGCGCAAGCTGGCCAGGCTTGACCCCCTTCTTGTCCGCCATTGCTTTCAGCCTCTCGTAGAAGACTCTGTTCTTCTCCAGCTGCTGAAACCTGGGGTCGATCTGCCGGAAGTCGCCGCTCTCGAACTCCCTCTGCTCTACGAAGCTGCCAGAGAAGAAGCCGCGACCGAGCGGACTGTACGAAACTATCCCGATCCCCAGCTCCCGACAGACGGGCACGATCTCCCGCTCCACCCCGCGCTCCCACGGCGACCACTCCAGCTGCACCGCCGTGATCGGATGAACGGCGTGCGCGCGGCGGATGGTCTCCGCCGTCGCCTCCGACAGCCCCAAGTACTTCACCTTCCCCTCCTCCACCAGCTTCTTCAGCTCCCCCATCGTCACCTCGATCGGGACCGTCGGATCGATGCGGTGCGCGTAGTACAGGTCGATGTAGTCCGTCTGCAAGCGCTTGAGAGATGCCTCCGCAGCCGCGCGCACGTACTCCGGGGAGCCGTCCACTCTCATCCCCTTGTCGGGATCAACCTTCATCCCGAACTTGGTCGCGATCTCGACTTTGTCTCGGATCGGAGAGAGAGCTTTGCCCAGCAGAACCTCGTTGGTGTGCCATCCGTAGAAGTCGGACGTGTCAAAGAATGTCAATCTCACGTCGACAGCATGTCGGATGAGCGTCACCATCTCCTCCTCCGGCTTCGCCTCCCCCAAGTGCCCACCGCTCATTGCCGCGCACCCCAACCCTTGTGCTGACGTCATCATGCCCTGCGAGCCGAGCGCTCGGCGCGGAAGAACAGGACAGATGGCCTCACCCATGATCACCACACTTAGCTCCTGCCCACCACTGCACCCTTAAGCGACTCTCTTTTTTTTTCTTTTTTTTTCCTTCTTAAATCACAGTGCAATCTGGACTGGAGCTCACGTCTGTTTTTCAACAATTCATAGTTGTACCGACTGCGACTATTTGCCCACCCGGCTTATCCACTATCACCCCCTCGCCACTATTAGCCCGCCCGGCTTATCTTGGATCAGCCCCCTGTGAAGCCAATCCCTTCCCACCAGCATGCCACGTGTCGCCCAAGGACGTGGCCCCGTTTCCGTCTGTTCCGATTTCTACGCCCCCGCTTCCCTCCCCCACCGCCCTCCCTTATCCACTCCACCCTCCATCCGCAGGGTGACCCCGAGAGACGACAACAAGAAGCCCCAGAGGCCCCCCAAGCTCTTAGCGTTTTTGACACGTAAGCTTCTGCAGCTTTTTGTTCCTAGCGTGCCACGTCTCTCCCAGGGAAGTGGCCGCTCTTCCACCGGTCCGCAGTCCCGCGCCACCTCCCCCTCCAGCCTCTCTCCGCAGGGCGAACGGCGGAGACAAGGGCATCAAGCGCCAGAACGGGGAGAAGTTATGAATTCTGCCCGGGCAGTATTCCTTGTCCTTAGCAAATTAATATACAAAGGTTCTGTCGCGGGGAAATTCGAAGCCATTCCCCCCCCCCCCCCCCCCCCCCTTCAGGTGTGGCCGAGACATCTCAGCCGTGGCCCCGCCACACAACCAGATGCTTTTTCTGTTTTTTTCACCCCTTGGGTGTCGCCGAGACATCTCTGGCGTGGCCCCGCCATGCTACGGGGAGGGGGTGAGGGGTGAAAGAAAAAAAAAAAACACGGAAAAAAAAAACGGAAAAAGGGGAAAAAATATGAAAAAAAAAGGGGTAACTACGCGGCGGTCACAAAACCAGTTTGAAAATGTAGTAGAAACACAGTTTTTGCAGCCCAGTCAGGCCCTACATTCGGACTGCACTTGAAACTTTTCATTGCAGAAAAGTCTGTGCCGCCGAGTTTCAAGCTGTAGTTTAGTTTTCGACGTGGCACCTGGCCCAGGGTCCGCATTTGGCCGTGGTCCCGTCTTCACAAAGGCAGGAAGGTGGCCTGCGTTCCGGTAGCGGTTCATCTCCCCCTTTTCCTCCCCCACCTGCCCTCTTCTCTCTCTCTCTCTCTCTCTCTCTCTCTCTCTCTCTCTCTCTCTGTGTGTGTGTGTGTGTGTGTGTGTGTGTGTCTGTCGTTTGCTCGGCTGCACAAAAGTAATGTTCCGGTCCGTCCAATGCTTCAGATACATTCGCATTTTCTTCTTTTACTTGGCAATGCTAATCTTCTGTTTCGCTCCAATATCTCTCTCTCTCGTGCGCCCCCGCTGCGGCCACTTATCGCCCTTAGTCACGCTGCCCTCCCCCCCCCCCCCCCCCCCCTCTTCTCTCTCTCTGTGTTCCTCTGCAGCAAAAAACTGTGAATGTATCTGGTCCTTTTAGAGTGCCAGATACATTACCATTTTTTCTTTGCATCTTTACACNCTGTCGAGGGGCAAGGTGTTTGGTCATGGCCAGGCGGACGGGTGTCCCGGGACAGTCCCTGACAATGCAAATTCGAACGCAATTCTCGAAAGGGAAAAGCCATAAAACCTCCCCGTGAGGAAACCTTTGTATCATAAAAAAAAAAAAAAAAAAAAAAACCTTTGTATCCATTTCCGCAGGGTGCAAAAATCCCTTTTGGTGTCATTTTGCATCCTGGGGCATGGACCCATTAGCGAAGTATTCTACCACTAGGTTCAGGATTTCGATCATGTGTGGCCTCGAGTGACGCCGTACGGCCGTAGAAAACATTGGATCTCGACGGCAGGGTGGTTTCGGAGCGGGGACTGAAAAGACGCCCACCTCCCGTACAATGAGATGCGTCCAAAAAAAAAACAGCTGGTGGCTTTGCATGGGTGGGAAATCTGGATTTTGTGGATTTGAAAAGGGGGTGTTGATTTCCAGACTTTGTTTTTCTTTCTTCGGCTCTGAGAAATAGAATTGAAATGTGTGAAATTCGATGAGGGACTGGTACAGCCTTGCTCTCGCGCCACTGCTGTGGTGCCAACCTACCCCGTGGGCTGGGGAGAGATCCCCGTTGGTTGGTGTTCCCCCGTACTACATATACACTAGTGAGAGGATGAGATAGATGAGTACTAGCAAAGAAAAGATGAGAGAAGAATATAGCTTTTTAAAAAATATATATATATATATTGTGGTGGATCTGACAGGAAAGCTGCCGCGTCTGTAGGATGGCCTGCTCCAGGCATCATGAGATACATGTTGATGAATGTGTCCCAATACCCGTTGCTTGTTCATCCTCGTGACTGTGTTCGTGGACACATTTTATTGCCACGGTACATCACTATGAAGACTTACGTGAAGGAGATCGTGCCAACCCGTGAATTCGGGTGCACAGCTGTTCTTCATTGTTTTATGTGCTATTTCAATTCATTTAAAATCAGAAAAAAATCCATTCATGCAAATAAAAAATCACTTGGATTTTCCAAAAAACCATAAAATTGCATCACACATAGTAGAATACTTGGCTATTTCAAAAAAAAAAAAAAAAAAAAAAAAAAAAAACTTCGCTAGTGGCTCCAGGTCCCTGGCTGGGCAGGTAACGGCCGCTGTGTAAAAATGGCGGGAAAGTGGTTTGCAGGGTGCAAAAATGACGCCCAAAGTGATTTTGGGGCTTGCGGCACCTTTTTCCCCGTTTGGGGGGAGGGGAAATGGATACAAAGGTTTCGTCACGGGGAGGTTTTATGACTTTTCCCTCCTCGAAAGGTCGGCCGGTTACTGTCAAATTTCTGGAAGGGCACTGTCGAATCCCTGTCGAATTTCTGGAAGGGCACTGTCGAATTTCCGGCACCTGCAGGCTGGAGGGCGGCTGTCGAAATTACCATTCTGACAGCTGTGGAATTTTTTTTCAGCCACAATTCTTCGAAAGTCTGTGTGGCCATGCAGAATTGTAGAAAACCTGGTTTTCTACAGCCTGTTTGGCGAGCCTCTTAGGGGGCATCGAGAAGGGCTATTGAAGGGTGCGGTCGGTGTCGGGGTGGTCGGATTGGGGTTGGAGGCGGGCGGACGTGGGGTTGAGAAAAGCGGGAGGCGGGCCGTTTTTGTGGAGGGATGATATTGTGCAAGGGTGTGATTCGGAATCAAATTTCGGAGGCTGTTTTCGCGGGCGGGTGAAGCGGGTCCCGAGAGGTGCAGAACAGAAAATGCTGGCGACACACACACACACACACACACGCACAAAAAAAAAAAAAAAAAAGAAAAAAAAAGTGTGGCAGTGTATATTTCCATGTACTAGCAGTTGATTCATTCGATTTTGCTCATCCTATCGTGATGCCAGCGGCCCGGTTGGAGACTTACCTGTTGGTGGGTGTGTTGCTCTACCAATAGATGGAAAACTCTCTCTCTCTCTCTCTCTCTCTCTCTCTCTCTCTCTCTCTCTCTCTCTCTCTCTCTCTCTCTCTCGTGCAGGCACACAACAAGTGTGGCGGTGTATATTTCCATGTTCTAGGGGTAGATTCATTCGATTTTGCTCATCCTATCCATGGAAGTGCACACTCTCTCTCTCTCTCTCTCACACACACACAAACAAGTGTGGCAGTGTATATTTCTATGTTCTTTTTTTTTTGTTTTTATTCTTTCAAAAGGGCCCCTTCAGTGATAGTGGTGCTGGTAAGAGCAGACACCACTAGCACTTGGGGAGGGGCTCCATCTATTGGTGGGGAGCATCACATGCTGGAAAGAGGGTCCAGCTTCCCTTATACAGTCTGAATTTCTAGCGGTAGATTAATTCTATTTTGCTCATCCTATCGATGGAAGTACCATGAGGCCAGCCGCGAGGTTGGAGACCTACCAGTTCTCTCTCTCTCTCTCTCTCTCTCTCTCTCTCTCTCTCTCTCTCTCTCTCTCTCTCTCTCTCTCTCTCNTCTCTCTCTCTCTCTCTCTCTCTCTCTCTCTCTCTGTGTGTGTGTGTGTGTGTGTGTGTGTGTGTGTGTGTGTGTGTGTGTGTGTGTGTGTGTGTGCTGCTCCTTCCACCATATTTCAAGGTGGATGCATGGAGTACTCCTTTTTTTTTTCTTTTTATTTGGAAAAAGCATGCAGCACTCTCATAACAATAGAAGGGGGGTAATCGTTTTTGGACTTGTCTATTTGTGCATGTCATCCTTGCTCAATCCAGGGGCTCTTTCCCCCTCGAAAAGAGGATTGAATTTACAGCAGGAATCTGGATGGCGTTTGTGGATTGGTGCAGAAAATTGGGATTGATCTGCTTTTGTGCATCTCCGCGCAAAACACATCCCCATTCAGGCGTTGAATACAACCCTCTTAGCTACGGGTAGTGGGACCTTGTTCCCGGATCCAGCCTTTAGCGAGAGGTCGACCTTGCCCCAGGGCATGCTCAGACGAGGACTTTCTTTTTTCTTTTTCTTTTTTTTTTTCTTTTTTTTTCTTTTTGGGAAAATTTTTGAAATGCCCCTGAAGTTTGCGTTTATTTGAGGCATGCCGCTCTGACGGCCGACTTACCTTGTCGAACCCCTCTGACGACGAATGATGTTTCCAGAAAACCCCTGGCGTCGTTTGGGCCTCAACCATGTTTCATATGCCCCTACCCGTACCCGTACCAAATTTTCAGTATGCCCCTACCGACTGCCTGTTGAGAACCAGCAGAAATGTTTCCCATATGCCCTTACCGGTACCAGCAAGCCCCTGTTGCCGTTGTTGACACTCCCAGTCCATATGAGGGAAGAGGAGGGAAGAAGGGGGAAGAGGTGGGAAGAGGAGTACGGATGACAGGGACTATGACGATGTTGGACAAAGGAGGAACCAGGGAAGAGGAGGGAAGAGGAGGGAAGAGGAGGGAAGAGGAGGGAAGAGGAGTACGGAGGACCTTCGATTCGTCATCATATACCACCTGTCCTACAAACAACTTGAAACAAGTAAACGAAAAGATGACAACAACACACACACACACACACACACACACACACACACACACACACACACACACACACATGCAAACTCGCGCGCGTGCACGGGCGATGATGCCAAGAAGATGGCCATGGTGATGGTTAGGAGGTGGACAATCGAGGAGGAGGGGAGGGAGGGGTGACGTGGAGAAAGTTGGAGGGAGAACGAGGGAAGAGGAGGGAAGAGGAGT